GAGATCAAGAATTGAGATTATCGAGTATAATTCTAAATGTATACATGGTTATAATAATAAAAAAGAATAGGAATTTATTAACATTGTAGACTTTTCCATATAATTATATAACATAATCTACTATATTATATATATATACTAATAAGAGCCCAAGAGAGTTAGGCCTATAATGGGTAGAAAAAATGGCGGTCACAGATTTTAATCAAATGAATGGCTCAGATTGATTAAAAGATTGATTAGATTTAAATTTTACACTAAAATTTCCTAAAATACCCACACACCGTTACTAATTCCGTTAAAATTTTAAGAATTGCCGTTAGTTCACCGTTAACTTACTCATTGAGTTCAATAAAAAAAAAAAAGGTCTTAGGTTCGAACCTCATCCCAATCAAAGTTGGCATAATTAGTACTCTATTTTACTCTTATTAAATTATATAAATAATAATTTAGTAGTTACAACAAAAAATAATACATATGCATTTCTTTAATTTAGAATTATGTGTCAACAATGTCTTTATTCAAAAAAAAAAAATTATTCATTATCAATAAATTAAATAAGATAAATAATTTTATTAGTTATATTGTCTTTATTTTTCTTCAATATAAAAATTCTTTATATTCAAATTTATTAATTGATTATATTCGCTACATTGTCCTTACAATGTCTTTATTCAGTGACAAAAAATTATTAATTATCAATAAATTAATTAAAAGAAATATTTTCATTAGTTATATTGTCTTTATTTTTCTCAAATGTAAAAATTTTTACATTCAAATTCATCAATTGATTATATTCACTACATTATCTATTATCTTTTTTTGTGCACTATTTTTTTAATTAAATATCAAAATTATAACATAAAATAATGCTATATATTTATTTACCAAGTATTTTATTAATACCATGAAAAAATTAAAAAAAATATAATTAATAAAGCCAACCATATTAACTACTTGAGAGATTTTGTGACAAAGAGAGTATTCAAATCACACAACAAACTGAAGTGAGAATTACCTCGCAATGTCCTTGTTTGACAATCAGCAGTTAGCGGATTTGACCAGCGAATTTATTTAATTATTAACATTGGGTAGAAAAAATAACCGCCAAATTATTAAATCAAATGAATGGTTCATATTGTTCAGGTTTTAATTTTGTTCTTTTAAGATTTTCTAATTTATCCTTAATTATATGATTATCCATTTAACTTTTCCGTTAATTCACCGTTAGTCTAATTCTAATATTAAAGTCTAATATAGAATTATAACTACACCATTAATCTAATTCTAATATTAAAGTCTTAATAGAACTTAACCACAAATCCTAATGTCGGAATCTCCTCAAACAATATTAGTATATATTTAATATTTTATGCCATAATTTTTATTTGTTCTCTCTTATGTCCCGTATTTGGTTTCAACCATACCTATACAATTATTTTATTGACAATTATAATCAATATTGACTATATTATCTTGCATTTGTAAACTTAGAATTACCTATTTAACTCGCACGGGCTTAGCTCAATGGTTTAGTGGTAAAAAGATATTTGAAAATATTAGATGTTTAGATTAAAATATAAAATGACCTAATGGTATACATATTATAATAATAATAATAATAATAATAATAATAATAATAATAATAATAATAATAATAATAATAATAATAATAATAATAATAATAATAATAATAATAATAATAATAATAATAATTGTTTTAAAAAATAAAAAAAAAATATAAAAATATAATTTAAGTAAATCATATTAGCTACTTGGAGATTTATTGACAAAAAGAGTATTCAAATCACACAACAAATTGAAGTAGGAAACTATCCCGCAATGTCCTTGTTTGGCAATCAGCAGTTAGCTATTCAATATTAGTATATATTTAATATTTTATACCCTAATTTTTATTTGCTCTCTCTAGCTTATGTCCCGTATTTGGTTTTAACCATACTTATGCAATTATTTTATTGACAATTATAATCAATCTTAACTATATTATCTTCCATTTGTAAACTTAGAATTGCCTATTTAAATACGCAAATTTAACATTTAATTATCTATGCATGAACAATTTCAATATAATTTTGCCTTAATATACTTTAAAGTACTTATTTTTTTAAAAAAACCATTGGGCATTATCCCAATCGCGCAATGCGCGTAAAAAACTAGTATAAATATAAAAGAGTATTTATAATATGTATCTTGATATATAGGATAGGCTTGATTTTTTTTTTTTTAATTTAAAAAAGAACTCTTTTGAAAAACAAAAAAAAAAAAAAAAAAAAAAAAAACACAAAAACTTGTATAGTTGATTTTTTAGGCGGAAAAAACTAATTACAAAAATTATTTTTTAAAAAAATAAAAATGAAAATGAGAACAAAAAAACTTTTCAAACAACTTCTCATGAAACTCAACAAGTAATTTATGTACTCTCCGAAAAGATTGAATCTCCAATTCAAGGGCCCCCATACTCCAGTTCGATAAAACATTTGAGAGGATGTAAATAACGGTAATTTAATGATTGAATAGTCAGAGCCAAATACCACCTACCGATGTGCATAAGAGATTTAGTTACTGTAAATAATTTTAATCTCTTTTTTCAAATATTGTTTACTAAATTATTGAATTAATTCCATATGGACAAGTAATTTTCGTACTTGAATTTATAGCTACATGTCAGCATCAATACCGGTATGCGTCTTACTAATATTGGTGAAGAATTTACTTTAGCTTTCGGTCCAATAAATACAAAGTTTCTTTCGCTTTTCACTCACCAGTCAACTTTAAAATTGATTAAATTTAATAATAGATTATTTTAATCTTCCATAAGAAATTTCATTCCGAGGTCAAATAATCATTGCGATTATAGCACCAAAATTAACATTTTGGCAATAATCATTTTATCCAAAGTGTAAAGGTAAAATGGAAGAATAACAATATTCGTAACATCAAAATTAAAATTAGAGTTTTTTGTATTTTGAATCACGACTTTTAAAATTTGTAAAATTGATTCACGATTATGACTTTTTTAGTAAATTTAGTTCTTTCGGTGTATTTTTTGTTTAATTTTTTCGAAAACATGAATAATAGTGTCTTTTCCATATCACAAACTAATGACATAAATAAATAAATAAATAAATAAATAAATAAATAAACACTGTCAGTGGTACGGTGATTGATATTAAAAGTCACCCAATTTCAATTTCACTTTCAGTTTCACCCTTTTCGCTAAACGTCAAATTTTTTTAGATGTTTATTCATTTATTTATTTATTTATTTATGTCATTAGTTTGTGAGATTGAAAAGACAATATTATCCATGTTAAAATGAGGAGTAAAATTTTTCGGCAAAAATTGAACGAAAAATGCACCGGAAGGACCAAATTTGCTAAGAAAATCATAGTCGTGGACCAATTCTACAAGTTTTAAAAGTTATGGATCAAAGTTGTTAGTGACACCATAGTCGTGGGACCAAAAGTGTAAAAAAAACTCTTAAAATTATTTTGGACAATCCCACTTAAATTGATTAGGCTAATGACTTAGGTTTTGCTTGGTACGCCTATAAAAAGTTAGTAGCTAATAAATTAACTAATTACAATTAAAGTATTTGATAAATTAATTATTGAATTGAATTAGATAATAAGTGTTAAAAAACATAAAAAAGATAAACTAAGATATTATGGTTTTGACTAATGAATTGTATATTGTGTCATTTTTGTAAATTATTAAACATAAAAAAAAAATTAAAAAGTTATGAGCTTATTTTGAAACACTATTTGGGATAGCGTTTCAAAATAATCTACTCCGTATTATTTTAAACTTCTCATGTTTATCAAATTGTAATTTAAAATAAACTATAAGTTCTAAAATAAAATTTTACCAAAAAGAGTATGAATAAGCACAATATTAGAAGTTTTACGGTTAGATTTCTTGATTTGAGCTACCTATTTCAAACAGAAATACTACTTGCACTCCTAATGAATCTCAGTGCGGTTTACTAGCTACCTATTTTAAACAGAAATACTACTTGCACTCCTAATGGATCTCAGCGTTGCTTACTTCGCAGTGGGTCACCCATTCTATGACTGCAATAAGTCAAGCGTTGGTCACTAATCCTGTGACGGTTGTAAGTCAAACACGCTTAACCATAGAGTTCTTTGGCTATTCTGGTTGTCATATCCCACTTAAAACTAATTGGTGATAAGTAGGTGGACATTACCATTTAACCACATCCTTCATGGTAAGCCATAACACCACGTCTCAAATCGAGCAGGGGTTGAACTCGGCTAACCCGACCGACGCCCAACAATCCCCCTCTCAGCACCTGTCGCAACCTTTGATCACAAAGTCCAATTGCACAGCATGCCTGACTCGGTCGGTCCTTAGCCTCTGCGCTCATTATCCCAGCCCCGTTGCACAGCATGCCAAACTCGGTCGGTCTTTAGCCCCCGCGCTCATCATCGCTCCCAGGATTGGACTTGGCCCGACTTACGTCCATATTCCATCTAGGCTCTGATATCAATTGATGGACCCTATCCTGTGACTGCTGTAAGTCAAACACGCTTACCACCGAATTTTTTGACCATCTAGTTGTCATATCCTACTTAAAACCAAGATAAGTAGGTGGACATTACCATTTAACCTCTATGATAAGTTACAACACCACGTCTTGAATCGAGTATGAGCTGAACTCGACCAAACTAACCGACGCCTAACAACTCCAAAAAGCTAATCCTAAACTTGTAGTCCCACTATGTGTTCAAATTTTATTAAATAGAAAAAAAATAATTGATAAAAATCATGACCCTTTATATTTAACAATTAAAACATGTCAGAGTAGAAAATTAGAATAAATTAGTCTATTTTAAAATTTAGAATTTTTGTTTTTAAAAAGAGAAATTACTGTACTTTGTGAATTATGGTAGGAATTCTTTAGGTGAATTTACGCATAAAAATCCGCTTCTTCTTCGTCTTCTTCCCATCAGCATTCTCTCTCTTTCTCTTCTCCATTGGTTCCACTCTTCTAGTTCTAGTCCTCCTTTCTTCTTATTTCTTGTTTTTATGTATTAAATATTGCAGGGAGTAAGCAATTGAAAGAAGGTGGAAACTGAGGGAGGTGTGTGGGCATATGATGCATTTTGGTGCATTGAGGACCGGAATAAGGAATTGGCTTCGCGACTATGTCAGGGTTCAATCCGCCGCTGTGATTCTCATCTACCTTCAAATTGGCTGCGCACTCATCGGATCTCTTGGGGCGCTATACAGCGGGGTTTTGTTCGCCCATCTCGGGATTGCGTTGTTCGCCCTGGTGGCCATCGAGAGCAGCAGCCAGAGCCTCGGCAGAACCTACGCCGTCCTCCTCCTCTCCGCCGTCTTGCTCGACGTCTCCTGGTTCCTCCTCTTCTCCCGCCAAATCTGGTATCTTTCTTTCATTCATTCATTCATTCCCAATTTGTATTTTTTTTTTTTTTTTGGGGAATTTGTAAAATTATTGTGAGAGTTGAAGTGGTCACGGACTCACACAAACACTAGGCAAGGGGTCTCTGGACAGTCAAATCAGTTCACCATTGTTTTTGGATTATTTCAGAGTTTGTGTGAACTGTAATGCATGTTGAAATTCAAGGTTATTTGACAAGGATAGTAACTCATGCAATCAGACACTATTTTAGGGGCATTGGCTTAACATGTCAGGAATTATTTATGGCTTTATTAGTTTCCTTCTTAATTTTTACTATGAATTTAATCAGCCATGGGGAATTTTTGATGTTTTGTTTGATAAGAGTAATATTTATGAATGTTAAACTCTATTATGCCAATTTGGGCAGCCTATGGACAAAATTAATTACAGAGATATATTAAGACAAACATCTTAGGAAAATTCAAAATGGAGATAAAAGTATTTAGAAACTTGTTGCCTCTGTTTGCATACTTTGCGCCCAGGAAATGTTAGATATAAATAATCTAACGATACTGAATATAGTATACGAGTAATGCCCACGATTTACTTCACCTTGTGATGATGGGGTCTGATGTTCTCAGCATCTTATGTGTTTCTCCTTCCATGATGTCCAGATTAGGCTAAGGGGACTGCACACATGGTTTTTTGGTTTCCCCACTACCTGCACTTGCCTCACCTAATCACAAGCATTGCCCTTTTTCCATATTTGAATGCACCCACTTTTGGTATTGTTGAATATAACTTCTCTTCAAACTGGGCAGGTAGACTTTGCCATATAGTATCTGTTAAATGTAGGAGCATTGTTTTTCATAAAATTTAGGCACACAACACAACAATGAGGTACAATTAGAATTTGTACTTCTTTAAGGGGACTAAAAAAAAAAAGAATCAGTACTGAGCACTCCTTTTTCTATTTCCTTGCCTGCAGGAACATTTCATCTGAAAATTATGGAACCTCTGTTATCTTCTCAGTGAAACTTAGTATGTACATGCAAATAATTGGTTTTTGTGTAAGGTTATCATCTTCAATATTGTGGATTCAGATATACAGACTCGGTCCTTCTTATGTAGACAATTCTTTTCCTCGAGAAGCAGATGCTGATTTGCAAAATAGCTTTCTCAGTCCTGTAAACCCTTCTATAACTAGACATATTTTCAGCTCTGGTGATGCTTTAGGTGGCTCTGTATATGACCCTGCATATTATTCATCTTTGACTGGAGATGGTAAAGATGAGGAGTATATGTCTGGGGTATGCAACTCTTACCACCTTTATGCTTTATGTGATCTCTTCTATCCACTTTAACAGTTATACTGTTCAGCTGCAGTTTTCTAATGCTTTTGTTACTTTTTGAGGCAAATTTGTCTCTAGACCATCTTGAGAAACTTGTACATTTTGAATATGCAATTTTTTATTAAAAAAAAAGAGAAAAGATTGCTCTCCTGTATTCATCTTGGACAATGGCAAGTGGAGGATCCATATAAAAACTCAGATAAGTGTGAACTCTTACATGTTGAGTTGACATGATCAGTGCCAAATTTATGCTTGATGGAAACTATGGATGGAGGATCATAATTTATATTCACTACAATTCTAGCATTTCAGCAGTTCAGTGTAATAAATCATGTTAATGCATGCAATTCCAGAGGGGAATTAACTTTTATCTGTTTTAAATGGTGTAAAGTCTGTTTACTCCAAAATTAGGGGCTTGTTGGTTATGTACTCCATAATTCCTTCTTAAAAGTAACCATGAAGATTTGCCATAGAGGAGGATATGGAGTGGAATGGAATATTAGTGAAAATTGACTTGATATAAAGTGGAAAGTTTGTTTTATTTTATGTTATTTCCTGAGTGCAACATGTGTATGTGACTAAATCATTAGAACACACACGTTGATTACAATAAAAAAACCTTTGAAGTAAATCATTTCACTAAATCTGAAAGGCTGAGTTTAATTATGCCATCTCAAGATAGGAAACCAGGAATAGTACCTTGTAATGTATTAAGTACACTCTTTATTTTATTCCTTATAATGCGCATCTAGTTAGTCTCTGAATCAAACATCAGTGACATCTTGAGAATATCAGAAGTAGTTTGACCTCTAGAACGTTGATGTCAATCCAGAGAAGTTATAATTATATCCTACTAATTTTATTGTTCCTTCACACAATTCTGAAATACAGAAACTCTCTTTTTCCAGACTCAGACAATGGAGGCCATTTTTAGATTGTTTCTGGTTCCTAGAGAAGCTTCTAAACAACTGTAAACTGGGGAGACTGAGATGTAGTCCAATTATCAATATCTAGACTGTAAGATTGACTCTTTAGAACCTTTTTACAGAAGAAGAAGAATTCATCTTTTCTGAAGTTGTGGCTTTCTATTTGTTTACATTATCTGGTTTCTAAGTGGTTACAACTTACAATGTTAAGGGAGGTATAAATTATATTTGGTATGTGAATTTTTGTTGGTAATCTTGTCTCTATGGCCTCAAAGACGACAGTCCCAAGGAAGATTCGATAGGATGAATTTTGGAAGCTATTGATAGGTTCAAATTACAAAGCATAATTTTGACCCCTGCCTTAACATGTCCTACAAATTTTGTCCCAAACATACAGCCTGATGTCACTTGGATATTTTTGGTTAATTGAGGGTCATGACTGTAGTCATTCAGGGAACAAAAAAATCTAATTGCAAACTTTGTACTATGACACTTGCCTTTTGTTCAATGAAATGATTAATTCGTATCAACTTATGATACTCTTTGCAAGGTGTCAATTGCCTTATCTGTATAATAATCTCTTTTATTTGTAGGCCAATCAAAATCATGGAATGGTGGTTGGATCAACTGCTTCTCCTGAAGGAACTACACCAGTGAAGCCAGTCATTAATAGATTTGTTCAGGGCAAAGATGTAAGTTGTCATTAATTTCAAGCTTTATACAATTTCAATCACTAGTTCACTACTCTTTGTGACCTACCAAAGTGTAAGGCCACATTCTTTTCTGGCTTATTAATATTTGAAAATCTGAGAAATGAACCATATATATATAGTTGGACAAAGCCTGCCTACTGCTGTAAATATATGTACCTTTGACTTAATGGTATAGTCTAACTTTCTCAAGTTCTCAACAGAACCCCTTTTAGTTCCTTACCAAAGTAATTTACTCAATACTGAGCCACTGATGGCTTATTTGGTTCAAATCATCGGATAACAGAATTCTGCATCTATGATGCGGAATAAGAATGGAATTAACAAAGGTGGGCCAAAAACCCGTTGTTTGTTTCTCAGAACTGAATCCTTTGTTTATTTCCCCAAACTAAATACCTTCAGAGAAGTTTGAAATATACTTTTAAGTTCTTCCTTATTGTTTCATACCTGAATAATAATAATTAGAACACTTATGTGAAGTTCATTGGGTGTTTTCCATGAAATGCAAATATATATATATATATATATATATATATATATATATATATATATATATATATAGAATTAGGTTCTGGTGCGGTTAGGGTGCCCAGGTGCGGTTGTGCGGTTTAATCTGGGCCATTCATCTCGCTTAAATCAACGTCCAGGATTACCAAAATTTTAAAAAAAGACGCGGTGGCAATTTTGTAATTTTTGCATCTAGGTTAAAATTAAGGTGAGCGGATCTGTGATTAATGTGCGTGAGTTTTGTATACAAGATGCGTGAGTTTTGTGCGTAAGGTGCGTAAGGTTTGTGCTTAATGTGCGTGGGGTTGTGCTTAACGTGAGTTGTTGTTAAAACTTAAAGTCTGTGAGTTAATACTTAAAGTGCGTGAGTTTTGTGCTTAATGTGCGTGAGGTTGTGCTTAATGTGCGTGAGTTTTATACTTAATGTGCGTGAGTTTGTGCTTAATGTCAGAGTTGTTGAAACTTAAAGTCTGTGAGTTAATATTTAAAGTGGTGGGTTTTGTGCTTAATGTGTGTGAGATTGTGCTTAATGTGTGTTGGATGAAGAAGCATGCAGCACGTCTAAATGACCAAAAGCGTCTACCAAAAGTGCGTCTTCTTATCCAACAATGTGCGTGGATTTTGTACTTAATGTGCGTGAGTTTGTACTTAATGTGTGTGGGTTTTGTACTTAATATGCGTGAGTTTGTGCTTAAGATCTAACAGTTAAGGTGCGTGGCTTTCTTCCAAACACGCGTTTTTTTTTTTTTTTTCATTGATTTGAGCCGTTGATTTAGATTTGATCAACGGGTCAGATCTAACCGCACAACCGCACGGGAAGCTATACCCGCACATGAACCCTTCCATATATATATATATATATATATATATATATATATATATATATATATATATATAATATGAGAGTAATTCACATGTGGAAAGTGAAAGGTATAAAAAACAATCCATTTGTAAATCACTCTCATATTATATATATACCTAAGTTTTTGATTGAAAGGTAATAATTTGATTGAACTAAGTTTTTCCCTTAGTAAGTACTCATAATTTTCCGATTCTGTCCAAGCGTTTTCACTTACTCAATAGTGCCATTTCAATTTTATTTATTTTCCCTATGGTAACTATTGTTGGTAGCATGATGCTTTTAGCTCTATAGCCCATGAATGCATTCTCATTCTTCCCTTTCTTTTGGCTAACGAATACTTTTGGTGTTGTGATAACTAGAAATCCTATTGCTGTGTCTATCTCACTTTCCTACCTGTATTATTCTCTCCCTTACCCATCCCCGTGTTTTTCCTTTTTAACTTTTCCCAGATGATTGCTTCTTAAACTTTAGAGCCTTGATAATTGTTATAATGGATGGTAGTGAAACACTGGACAAAAAGATGCATAGATGAAGCCATTTGCGTTCTATGAATGATTCTATGTATAAAATTGTAATGTTTGTATCCTCTAAAGAAGCTCCATTTGCAGGACCTAAATGCTGTTAGGAATCTACTGCAAGGCTGAACCTGTCTGGATTCTTTCCCCCTGGAGGGTTATACATTTTTAAGTAACTCAATTCTTGGCAGGGTAGTTTTATGGTAGTGAGTATTGTACAGTGACCCAGTTGTAGTATCACTCCCAGGATATAAGATTTGCATTGAAGCAAAACTTATTCTCTAAAGATAAAGATGATGGCAGTGTAGAGAAGCTTTACTTTATAGTTTCTAGCATAGAAATTTCAATCTTTATCTGGGGATATTGTTAAAGATTTGGCCAGCTGGTGCAAATAGTTCTTGATTTCCTGGGAAATGAAATGAATACCACTCTAGCTTCTGTCTTCATATCAAAATGTATCCCTAGTTTGTTTATATATAAAATTTTACATTACCTCTCCAAAAGGTTGAATCCTCCACCCCAAGGCCCCCCACGCCCTGGTCTCGATAAAGCATGTAGGAGGATGTAAATCAAGGTAACTCAGTAGCAGGATGTAATCACGGTAACTCAGTAGCTCAGCAGACAGGGTCAAATGTCGGTGCACATAAAGGATTTTCGTACTTTGTGCATAATTCTCACACTATGGCTGCTAAGTTTGAATTTTTTTTTTTTACATTATTGAATAATAAGAATGTTGACTATTATAAAATATAAATAGATAGGAATATTGATGTTGTTGTAATTAGCAAAAGTAAATATATTATTCTATTTTCAAAAAAAATTGACATCACATTAAAAATTACAAATTTAAAGCCAATAAATATATTTTAAATAAAGCATTGAAATATGATTTTTGGGATAAGGCTAAGAATATGTGAAGTCACAATATACTTATTCCAATTCCATTCCTCCTCTAGTGATACATGCAACATAGACATCTCACCTTTAAGTCCCATAATTTAGTATTAATAAAATTAAACTACATTTTCGGATGATTCATTAAACTGTCTTATTAGTTATTATTATTAGTATGCTTAGTGATGATTCATCGAACTAAAGCTATATAAAATGATTTTTTTTTTTTCAAAAGAAAAAAAAAGGTAGTTGATGATTCATCCAATTTAAATTAAAAACTTTTTCAAGAAAGATAAATTCACTTGAACCCCCTCTTAATTTATATCAATAACGTTTGAATCCCTATTTTTTCATAACCATCACATAAATCATTCATATTTTATTGTCATTAAAAAAAAAAACTCTAATACAATTAGTCTTATGTGATATTGTTTCACTTGAAATGCGTACTATTTTGTTAATAAAATATAATACTTGCCCGCACGGGTTCAGTTTAACGGTTCAGTAGGCAGCATTTGTGAGAAGAGATCAAGGTTCGAATCTCGACGGCAGCAATGTAGAGATTATATCTAAAGTGGATAGATCTCTTGTGCACACCAACATTTGGTCATGTCTACTACATTCTCTCAAATGTTCTGTCGGGTCGAGGTGCAGGGACCCTTGGAATTAGGGAAGAAATAAAATATAATACTTTCCTAAATTTTTTGTGACCTTAATATTAAAATTTTGAAACTGGTTATGCATGAATTTCTGTCAATAGTCTTTTTTGTCCTTGAGTTAGATAATATTAACTGATTATATATATATATTTAAGTACTATTAACTGATTATATATTTTTTTAAAAGATGACCGGACACTCATAGAATGTAAAAATAATTTCTAAAATATAATAGGATCAAAGTGTTACAATCAGATCTTTCAAGGGTCAAAGTGAAAAATATCTCTTTTAGAAAATATAGTTTTTAAAAAATTAAAAAGAAAGTTGAAAACATTTCCTACGCGGTATGCACGGCTTCACATGAGATTGTCTCGTAGTGGTTAGGCAATGTCAACTTTAATCGTTCTCTCTCTCTCTCTCTCTCTCTCTACTTTTTTTTTTTTTTTCCTTCCTTTTTAATATATTTTGGGACTTTATTTTTATTTTAGTTACTCCCCCTACTATTATTATTTATGCATAAAATATTGAGAAAATATTTAGCAATAATAAATATCTCTTAGACGACTGATTTCTTATGGTAACACTTGAATCCTCAATTTTTGTAAAAGTTATATTTAATCCTTATTCTTAAATTATTATTTTTTTAATACAGTGAAATGAGAACAAAAATTAAAGAGTTAATATCTAAAATCGTCTTCGACTATAATGATTTTTTTTTTTTAATTTTGTCCTAAACGACTTTTGTGACTTAATGTAGTCCCAGAGTTTTGTGTTTTTACTCAATTTCGTCCCAGACTTTTGTGTTTTTGCTCAATTTAGTTCCCCATTTGTTATTCCGTTCATTTGTTGTTAAATAAATAGACAATTCAGTGATTTTAATATTGGCATCTCTTTATTCATAGACATGTGAAGTGCGAAATCCCTCTTTTTTTACGAATTACTCCCAGAATCACTTCTAAAGCTGCGAATATAAAATTTGATTCGTAGGTTTGTGAGTAACTCTGGGTGTAATTCGTGTAAGAAAGAGAGATTTCTCACTTCGCAGGTTGAAAGTAAAGAGAGGTCAATATTGATATTATTGAATTGTCCCTTTATTTAACACCAATTTGACGGAATAACAAACGGAGGACTAAATTGAGCGAAACACAAAAGTCTGAGACTATATTAGGTCACCAAAGTCGTTTAGGATGAAATTGAGAAAAATCACTATAGTCGAGGACAATTTTGGGTATTAACTCAAAAATTAAATCAATTTAGGTCATTCAATATCGACAACAATTTGATCCCTTATAGAGGAGTCTTGTAGATCTTAAGTCCATGGTGAACATGATACGTTGGCTATAGAAATTTATCAATCAATTAACATTATATTAGTCTCTTTGTGGTTGTCCCTAGTAGTACAACATCAAATTTTCCTATTTAAGTTAATAAAAAAATTTTTAATGCAAACTTAAAGTGTCATGGAAAACCAAAACAGAATTTTAAATGAAAATATCAAGTCATCAAAATGTTAATTAAAAAGAAAGAGAGACATGGACCTAAAATTGAGGCAGGAAAAAGGTGCATGATTCAACATGTATCATGTTAAAGGAAAAAGGAGAATTGAATTAAGGTATAAGACATGCATAGTTTCCTTTAAAAAGTTGGAAGCTATTTTCCATACTCTCAATTATTCTCAAATTAAATGTATAATATAAATAGTAAATAATTTGTTTTCATCTTTTTTTATTTAAACAAAAATTTGAACAACAACAACAACACATTTTGATTTGAAAATGACTGCGAGAGTAGAAATCCATTATTTGTGACAAGTGGCAATTTTGAGAATCTCTTCTTATAGTCTGCTTTGAAAATTGAGATCCTAACTCTGATTTCGTTTTCATTTTTCAACTATATATCAAATGTCAGGTTAGGAAAAGGTTAAATAAACCTTCAAACTTTAATTAAAAAGTTAATTAACTCTTTCAATTTTTTAAAGGTGTAATTATATATATGAACAATTTATTTTGATGTAATCAGGGGCGAAGCCACCCCTTGAGGTAGGGGAGGTCAGGGCCCCCCTACTCTACCTCCATTTTTAGTAGATATATAGGTATATATTATTATAATATGGATAAATTACACTGTTGACCCTCCTCCTAATTTTTTTTAAATCTATTATGTATATATTAAATGAACTCGAAAGTTACACTTTTCGTTCCTAAGTTATGGGATAATTGTAGAATTCGTCTATAATTGTTGATCGTGTGCAATTTTCGTCCCTAAGCTATAATTGACGTTGCAAATTTCATCCTTTTAATAACAGGTTGTGGTCACTCTTTCTTTCTAAGCTATACTTCGTTCCTAATGTTTTGTTAGTAAAGGGACGAAATTTGCAACATCAATTACGGAGTATATTTTGGGGACGAAAAGTAAGCTATTTTGGGGACGAAAAGTAAGCACGACTAATAATTATGAATTCTTCAATTACCCTATAACTTAGTGATTAAAAGTGTAATTTTTCCTATTTTTTACTATTATATAATTTTTTTGTTATGTAAAAAATTCAAAAGTAATGTTTGACAATCTTAACGATCGTACTCATATAATTATAATATTTCATATATTATTGCACATAGTATAATTAAAAATAATTATCAATAATAACTGGCACAATCATATATATATATATATATATATATATATATATATATATATATATATATATATATATATATATATATTTGTGTGGTTGGTACTAATATCGACTAAGATGATAAATTTCCTCTATAAATTTGGACAACCCCCCCCCCCCCCCCTAATCTCGACTTTCTGGCTCTACCACTGGATGTAATGAAGCCCAACAACAGGTAATTGACCTACTATCACAAGTCATTAGAGATCCGGCCACCATCTGGTAGAATTTTCAGGCAAAAAAGTGACCGGCAACTGCAGAGAAGAGATGGCAACAAGTCACTTTCTCCTGCAAGAAGGCGATCACTGGGGTCGACTTCTCAACTGGAAAAGGCGACCTAGATTTGGTTGCCTTCTCCGGGGTCGAGAAGGCGACACCACAATGTCGCCTTGTCAACTAGAGAAGGCGACCCCGTCGCTTTCTCTTCTCTGTCTCCATGATCGGCGACCGTTCGCCGGTCACTTTTTTGCCTGAAAATTTCGCCGGAGGATGACCGAATTTCTAATGACCTGTGACAGCAGTTCAATTACCTGTTGTTGGGCTTCATTGCACCAAAATGAATTGTTCATGGTGTAATTGCACCTTTAAAAAGTTGAGGGGGCTAATTGACTTTTTAGCTAAAGTTCGAGGGTTTATTTGACCCTTTTTCCTTGAGGTTATGAATTCTGGTAGCCCGCGTGGATTTAACTCACTAATTTTTAACTTGATTTTTTAATTTTGTCGGATTATATCTAGATTCCATAAATCCGCTCTTTGACTTATAAGGTAGACCTAGCAATTATGGACACGACACGGTATCAGACACAAAAAAATGGGTTAGTGTTTAGCCTTATTGTGTTTCGGGTCGTTAACGGGTTGACCCGTTAAGAAGCCGTTATGTTTCGTGTCTTAACAAGTCAACCCGTTAAACATATTAAAAACCCGTTAATATTACCGTGTTAACCCGTTTACACGAGCCCGTTTACACAAACATGTTTATAACCATTAAGAACCATTGTCATTTAGGTAAGAACCATTGTCATGAATGAGATTATAAAAGATATCATGAACATGACTAATGATGAATTTACTACATTAGGCCAAGATCCTACACTAATTATTGATTTTCAACAATCTGAAATTTGAATTTTTATTGTGTTCACTTTTCTTCTAAAAACTAGCATGAACTTCTGATTTTTGGATGTTATTTTATCATTTTATAAATGTTATAAATTGAATATTTTTTTAGTTTGTTTGATGGATTGAATTGTAGGTTTTATTATTTTTTTTGAAAGGATTATTTCTTTCTTTATATAACTTATCTTTAAATTTTAGTTTTTGTTTTAATATATTAATAGGTTTAGCGGGTTTAACGGGTTTCGGGTCATATCGTGTCGACACGGCCCGAAACTTGTTAACAAAACATGTTTATCATGTCAATTCGTTTAACTCGTTAACAGTTCGTGTTCGTGTTTGTGTTAAAAATTTGAACCCGTTAATCTTAATATGTCGTGTCCGTGTTTAACCTTATTGTGTCGACCCGTTACGAAGCCGTTAACGAACCCGTATACACGAATTCCTATGTCTATATATAAGGAGACAAATTCTGTTCTTAGGCCTATAAAGAGACAAATTGGCCTAATCTAGTTTCAAAAGTTCATTCAAACTCCCAATGTTCGTGGCATAAATCGAACCTCCCAAGTGATCACTAAAAACAAATTTTAAACGAAATTTCTTATCTAGTATTAATGCCATGAGGACTAATTGTGATATCTTGATTATTATATTTTTATTTTATTCTCAACTTTAAATTCAAAATGGCGTACTTTTTTTTTTTTTTTAAATTATAATTAAATTCAAAATTGATTAGATTTAATCTCCCATAAAATAAAATTTTGACAGGTGTTAATTAGTTTGAAAGGCTAAAAGGATTGAAGTAATAATCTTCTAGTGTTGGATTGGTCCAAAAAGACAGAATAAAGTTGAGAAAAAGTTATGAGACACAAGATCCTTAGGCAAATTTGACTGTGGAAAATTGTCTATGTAGCAATTTAGATCATGGTATGAGCTATGTTTTAGTTTTATTTTTCATATATACTAATCTCATTATAGTAACAATATAGTATCATTTTAATCATATTTCATGTCTCTATTACTTGGTTTGATCATTTTATATAAGCAATAGGTTTAATTGTAATATTAAAGTATATTTTAAACACGTTCATGTCTTACATGTGTGAAGGTCTGAATCTGAACTTTTGTATGGGATTGTCTTTAATATCAAATTTAAAATAAATAAGAAAAACAATGGGGGTGTTTGGTAAATATTTGTTAGTGGTTTGACTAGTTGATAGCATTAGCTTATTGTAGAAAAATGGTTGGTAAATTAGTTGTTAGCTTATTGTTGATTACATGTAAAAGGACTTTCTCAAAAAGTTAATCGAAAAAGCTATTTTGAACAACTTTTTAAATTTTAGCATTTTGAAACAATAAGTTGTTACAAAAAGCTAATTAATCAAACACTCAAATTGGTTGTTTAACCAAGTCAAATAGTTAGTAATGGTTAAAGAAGCCAAAATTGACTGATAGGCCAAATATGACTGATATATTTCTAATTAAAAATTAAAAATTTAAACTAATAATTTACTATACCTTTATAATTTGTTTTATATGCTCAACGGTTGGAAATGTTCATTCTTGGATGGTAGTAATAATTTTTCAAGTGTTGGATTGGTTCAAAAAGACAAAATAAAGGTGATAAAATGCTAAAGATGCTTAGTAGGAATATAATAGTGAAAGAGCATTTAGTGAGTGATTGAATAGTTTTTGGTCAAGCTATGCTAAAGCTTACATAGGATTCACAAATATGATTGATTGACTAGGTTATGATTTTTTTTTTTAAAAAAAAATTTAATAAGAGGAAGTATATTTTGAACTCCATTAATTCACCCCAAGCCTATGAAAATATGGACCATGGTCTAAAAATGACGCTGTTTTTTTAAGTAAAGAAATCGCAGCCGTTAAAACTTAACGGAGCGCGTATTTTTTGTGTACGTGTTAATTACCGAATGAAACTACAGTATATTTAAACTGACGCTGCCTCACGTATTATTTTTATATTATCAAATGAAACTGCAATTGAATTGAAATGAAACTGTAGTTGTGTTGAAATGAAATTGCAATGTATACAAACTAAAACTGAATAACAATTTCACATATTTGAGCATATAATATCGAATGAAACTGTAGTTATATCGAAATGAAACTGTAGTTGTGTTGAAATGAAACTGCAGTGTATACAAAATGAAATTGAATATGTTATACAATCAAAGTTCTTTTTTGCGGATGGCAAGAAAACATATGCCGTTTCTTTTCATTAAAAGAAACGACGTCGTTTTGATGCCTTGACCACAATACATTGTGGACCGCGGTCCATGGTATAATTTACCTTATTGTTAGAAGTAAGTCTTAAATGAGACTTCATATATCTACTAGAGGGCAATAATAATATTTCTTACTACTTATATTGTGATTCATTAGTGGTTTAATAACCTATTATATCAATCTACTTATGCTAGGTTGTTCAAATAATTAAAATTTTATTTTCAATATTAAAAATTACTTTAGTGAGTGATCCATAAATTATACTGTAAATTTATCGTAAAATCAACAATCCCCACATTGTGGCTATTGAAGTTTAAATCTTGGCCTCTTTTCTCAAATAATGCCCACTAAATCATTAAGTTAAGTCCCACTAAAATTAATAAATAATCTATTAAGATGAGTAGCAAATGTAGAGAGTTTTTTGCACTTTTGATCCCACGACTATGGTGTCACTAACAACTTTGATCCACAACTTTTAAAACTTGTAGAACTGGTCCACGACTATGACTTTCTTAGCAAATTTGGTCATTCCGGTGCATTTTTCATTCAATTTTTGTCGAAAAATTTTACTTCCCATTTTAACATGGGTAATATTGTCTTTTCCATCTCACAAACTAATGACATAAATAAATAAATAAATAAATAAATAAATAATTAATTAATTAAACATAGCCAGTAGTACGATGATTGAAATTAAAAGTCACCCAATTCTAATTTCACTTTCAGTTTCACCCTCCTAGCTAAACGTCAAAAGTTTTTAGTTGTTTATTTATTTATTTATGTCATTAGTTTGTGAGATGGAAAATACAATATTACACATATTAAAACGGGAAGTAAAATTTTTCAGCAAAAATTGAATGAAAAATGCACCGGAAGGACCAAATTTGCTAAGAAAGTTATAGTCGTGAACCAATTCTATAAATTTTAAAAGTCGTAGATCAAAGTTGTTAGTAACACCATAATCGTGGGACAGAAAATGCACAAAAACTCCAAATGTAGATTAATACAAATGGCAGAGTAATGCGCATAAATTCTGAGGACCAAGAAAAAAACATTATTGTAAAGGGAAAGGTGGGGTCAACGTGACCAGTTGAGTTTAAATTTTAAAAAATAAAATAAAAATAAAAATTCCAATGGCCAGCAAATGATGAAATGAATGACTGATAAAAAGGGAAGTCCCCACTGCTTTCCATTCCTTTCTCCCTTCCATTTCAACCGCTTCTCAACACACAGTCCAGAAATCCAGAATCCCAAACCTCAAAAACCAACCAAAATTCATAAGAAATACTGAGGGAGAATCATCTCCCTCACCCCCTCATTCAACCTCTGAAGCTGGTAAGTTTATGTTTCATCCTATGTTGTTGTGTGGCTTTTGATGTCACAGATCATTTTTGGGTGCTGGGTTGTTTCTTTCTTTGATTGATTGATTCAAAAGATTGATAAAGAAACAATCTTGTTCTTGTTTAATATGTGTGTTCTTTCTTTCTTTCTTTCTTATCACCTACCTTATTTTCTTGGAAATCAATCAATATATGTAGTCATTATTGTTGTTGGACCAGATTTATAGAAATCCCAAAATTGGTTCTTTGATTATTTCTGGTTGGATCTGTAAGAATTTCCCAGTGATCTTGGGAGGCTATTATTCTTGTGGCTTCTCTATTCTTGTAGGTATGATGGTAAGGAGACAAAATGCATTGTTTTTTTTCTTGAATTTGTATTTTCATTTCTAGCTCCTGGTGAGAATTGTCTTTCATTTTGTCCCAAGAACTGGATCTGTTTCCCATCTTATTTCAAAATTGGTTTTAAGATCACTCCATTTTGGTTATCACCAAGATCATAATATATTTATTGTCTGTTTTGTTGGCAATCCCCCATTTTGGAATTCTGAAATATGCAGGGTTTTGGGATAATCCCAACCATTATGGCAAGACATCCACACTCGTAACCACAAGGTCACGAGTTCGAATTCTTACCCCTTGCCCCCTCGCTTTGAGCCGGTCAGCTATGGGTAACCCTAGCCAAGATGGCAAGACATCCATACTTGTAACCACAAGGTCACGAGTTCGAATTCTTGCCCCTTGCCCCTTGGTTTGAGCCGATCAGCTATGGGTAACTTAGACTGGTTTACTTCTTTGTGGTCCTTTGCTAGGGTCATAAGGTGGGGTATACCTATGCCCGAAAGGATTGTGGGGGTTCCCTCGTCATCCAAATAAAATGCACTAATGTTGAGTTGATTTGGCAGAGGAAGAAGAACCAGTAGCCAAGATGGATGGAGCCCTGACATCTAGATATTGGTGTTACCACTGTTCAAGGGTGGTGAACCCAATCATGGAGGTTGAGCCAATAAAATGCCCCATCTGTCAAAGTGGCTTTGTGGAGGAAATGGAATCTGCAGCCGCCCCGGAAACAACAACTAACGAGAACGCCTTCGATTTTGCGGGGCCTGATTCTGAACGAGCGCTCTCTCTTTGGGCGCCAATCTTACTCGGCATGATGAGCAACCCACGTCGCAGCAGGCGTAGTAGCAGCAGCAGGTTCAGGCGCATGGAGTTTGAAGAAGAGGACGATGAGGACAATAACAATGAGCGTAACCACCACGAGGAGGGTGATCAGACTGAGCTAGACCGGGAACTGGAATCTATCATTCGGAGGAGGAGGAGGAGCTCCGCCACGATTCTCCAACTCCTCCAAGGCATTCGTGCTGGAATGTTATCCGAGACGGAAAATTCTGAAGGTGGTGGTGATGATAGGGAGAGGGACAGGGACAGGGACAGAGAGAACAGGGATAGGGAGAACAGGGATAGAGAGAACAGGGATAGAGAGAACAGGGAGAGAGAGCGCGTGATTTTGATAAATCCTTTTAATCAAACCATAATAGTTCAGGGTTCTTATGACTCGAATACCAATTCGGGGAACCATAACATGGGCTCATTGGGCGATTATTTCATAGGACCCGGTTTAGACATGCTACTGCAGCACTTGGCTGAGAACGACCCGAACAGGTATGGCACCCCGCCAGCTCAAAAAGAGGCAATCGAGGCGATGCCAACGGTAAAAGTTGAGGATTCAATGCAGTGTTCTGTCTGTTTGGAAGACTTTGAAATCGGGTGTGAAGCAAAAGAGATGCCTTGTAAGCACAAGTTCCACAGCGGGTGTATCCTGCCGTGGCTCGAAATTCACAGCTCCTGTCCCGTCTGTAGGCACCAGCTGCCTTTCGATGACTCAAAGCTCGAGCCCAACGGGTCCCGGGATAATGCAGAGATGAACATGGATGGCAATAGAGGAGACCCTAATGGAGATGCAAGAAATGAAAATGGACGACAGTTTTCAGTTCCGCTTCCCTGGCCATTCAGTAGTTTGTTTTCACCTTCACCCTCAACCTCGACCTCGGGGCCCCAATCTAATGGACCATCAAGCCCGCCAACAAATGCTGCCCCGGGGGCTCATAGTCATACACACGAGGACTAAACTTACGAAAGCTCGTAAGTCATTGCCATCTGGTGTTGTATGTTGTGTGGACGTCGTTTGCCCTTGCTGCTGCTCATGTACATAGCGCTTTTACATGCTACATTATTATAAGTTTGCGATATATGAATGAATGATTGTACTTTTGCCAGCCTGTAACTATATGTATGCCATTGTTAGACACACCTGCAAACAGCACATCTGCCGGAGGTTTTCCTTTTTGTATAGTTTCCAATATGAGAATGAGATTCTCTATTTGCACCTTGGCTGGCTATTCAGTATTTTCCTCATGTTTTGGTTCTTCGCCAAAACCCCATCCTGTCTCTCATTGCAATCAGATGAAATCTTATATATATATATATATATATATATATATATATATATATATATATATATATATATATATATAATGAAATGGAAATTCAGTGCAGCACTACCATATGGTCCATTACTGAAATGACAACTTGGTTTTTGTCCATCATCTGCCTGCTTACTTTACACTCACCATTCCATTCCATATGCCATGCCATTCTAGAATCTATAATTATTGATCCTATTTTAGTCTCATTAATCAAACCCGACATTAAAAAAAAATGACATACCATTTCAGAATCTAGCCTCGTTAACCAAACTCGACATGAAGAAAAAATACAAGATGCTATTGAACAAATCAACTTTCACTCATCTTTAACAATTCATTATTCTACTGTTTAATACTTCAATCAACAAAAAGATATAGCAAAATAATAATCCAGCTTTCAGGATTCAGCTTTGTGAGGTTGGAAAATTGGCTGGCGCAAAACATGGTTTCTAGAAGAAGGGTGCAATAGGGCGTATAGTGGTGTCCCTTGTGGAAAGTTAAAATTAAAAAGCAGAACAAAAAAATCTGATTTAACAAAAGAGAGTGAAAAGTGAATATAATGTTTGCTTCTCCACAACCAAGTTGGTATATTACTCAATCACTTACTTCACTGTCACGATCTTGATCACAGAAGCAGTTCCAATGCGGTGAAGGACCACGACAGCATCTCCTACCTCACATAATCCTTTTGCTTTGGCATGTTGGAGGGAGAACACGAGTGCCTCCTCTGTCGACTCCTCGTGGGATGCTCTTGCAGATCCTGCACACAGGACTGGGACTAGTCCCCTGAAAATAAGGCTATGCCTTGCTGGGTACTCCTCGCTACATGACCAGTCAAAGGAGTCGGTCTTGATCTCAGGGACGACGACTGACAATATAGGCTTTCCCGGCCTGTATTTGGCTACCAGCTTTGCAGTACTTCCTCCCCGGGTCAGAACAAGGATGAGAGAGGCATTAGCAGAGTTAGCTGTTCGGACAGCAGAAGATGCAAGACTCTCTAGTGGGCTCATAGGAACTGGTGCGCTTGCCACGATTCTTTTGAACACATCTGCATAATCAATTGTGCTCTCTGCTTCTATGCAAATTTTGGCCATCGTACGTACTGCAAGATCTGGATAAGCCCCTGCAGCTGTTTCACCACTAAGCATCACACAGTCTGTCCCATCAAGAACGGCATTGGCAACATCTGTTGCTTCTGCACGAGTTGGCCTTGGAGACTTGATCATCGATTCCAACATCTGGGTTGCCGTGACAACAGGCTTCCCCTGGATGTTGCATTTGTAAATCATTACTTTCTGAGCTAAAAATATCTTCTCAATTGGAATCTCCATTCCCAGATCACCACGTGCCACCATAAATGCATCAGAGTTGGCAAGAATGTCATCAAAATTTGCTACACCTTCTTGGTTTTCAACCTAAAGTCAATATAACATTTGTTAATGCAATAGACTTGCTTATGTAAACAAAAATCAGAGCAAGAATGGAGAATTTCAATATATAATACTCATGTTAAAAAAAAAGGTGAACATCATGATCAACAAGTGCATACTTCTGGTATGCTTATAGACTATTTAAGGCAATAATACAAAAACTCTGAAATTCCTCTATGATCAGGATAATCATTGAAAGAGTTGATGGAAGCAAACCTTTGACATAAGAATGATATTCTTTGCATGTGGACCCAGCAGCTTCCGGACTTCAACAAGATCTGAGCCCTTGCGAACAAAGGATAAGGCAATCATGTCAATTTGGTTAGGTACCCCCCAGTTTAAGATGTCATCCTTGTCTTTATCTGTCAAGGTTGGAAGATCCACAATAACCCCAGGGAGATTGACATTCTTTCTCTCACCAAGAACAGCAGTGTTCTCACATCGGCATCTAACAAGACCGTTCTCTTTATCGCATGACAAAACAGTAAAGGATATGGTGCCATCTGCACACAGTATAACACTTTGAGGCTTGGCATCCTCAGCCAACTTTTTGTAGCTCATGCAGATCATATTCTCATCACCCTTGATGCTGTAATCAGTGGATATAGTAATCTCTTGACCCTGTTTTAGTTGGATGGGCTTGTTGTCTTTCAAAAACCCTGTTCGAATTTCTGGACCCTACAACACAAAACAAACAGAACTCACAAATAAGGTTCAATGCTATATCCCCCCAGTTATAGAATTTACAAACAATAGGCATGCCTTAATCACTGTTCAGACACATTCATATAATCATTTGATCAGATCAACATTTACATCATTTGAATTATGATCACACTTGACCTACCCATAATAGCAGTTCTTTTTATAGAGTGTAAAGAATGGAATATTGAAATTAAGTATAGAATTAAACAAAATCAATTTAAATCAATGGTAAGGCAATAAGCCTTAACCCCAAGCTAGTTGAGGTCAGCTAGATGGACTCTATTCTCTATCCAGTTCTTGTAATGCTAAACCTGCCATGTGCCATTGAGGTATTACAGAATAACATGTATCTTAAATTTCTGCTCACCTCTTTCTCTCCCCCTGGACTACCATGTTTATTACTCTTCTTACAAACAAAGAATCATTTATGTTGGCATCTGCAACTCTATCCTTGAGTTGCAAAAGTTTGCACTCAGGGAAAACTGTGGAAAGCCACAATTGCCAGCAGAATAACAATAGAATTTGTTTTTGAGATAGGGATATAATCATCATCTTCAAGGGGCACTCTATTGGAATGTTTACCATTAAAACAAATAATAATCGTTCTCTCTAGGTAAAAGTTGAACTCATTTCTCCATGGAGGAGCAAATATGTCGAAAAAGAGCAGATTGGCAATCATCAGAGAGAAAGAGGAAAGCCGATCATTTTAAGAGCACTTAAATTTTATGTGAATAAGATAACTCATCTTTGGTAGAATTACCTAACCCCCAAAAAAATTATGTAAACTGGAAATCATAAGAAGCAATAAATAAGTATTAGATAATCCATAGCAGGTCAGTTAGCTCCGTATATATATATTTTTAGTAGTTTCTGGTTTCAATCCAGTAATAAACTCGCGTAATGGGAAGAAACACATCTTCTCCTGTTCTTTCTCCCATAGAAAAAGAGTCAAAGCACAAAGTAATCAAAGTGATCTAAATTTCAAAAAGCAGCTCCCAACCGATTCAACACCATACAAGTAAGAAATGAACCAAAGATCAAATCAGCAAGTGGACAGATGGAACGCAAAAAACCAGTCAGACCAAAAATCAAACACCTAACCCGCACAAATTAACAACCGATCCACCAAACAAAGTCAACACAGAGTAAACGCACGTATGTATACCTTAGTATCAAGCATGACGGCGCAAAGAATACCGGTGTTCTCCATACCCTGACGGAGATTGTTGAGGGTCTCCTGGTGGTACTCGTGAGATCCGTGAGAAAAGTTGAAGCGCGCGACGTTCATCCCGGCACGGAGCAGCTTCTCGACCATCGGCACCGACCGGGACGCCGGCCCCAGCGTGCAGACAATCTTGGTCTTGGGCCGCATCACCGGACCGGCCGCACCGTCGTTCGCGCTCATCATCGTCATTTCTCCCTCCGACCGATCGGCGACTGAGAGTTGAAAAACTAGCGAAGATTCTGTAGAGAGAGGGAGAGGAAGGAGGCGTGATGCACTGATGCTTGTCGAAGCTTTAGATTACCGCTGTGTATATATTGTTTCTATTATATAGAAAGAAAGGAAAAAAATTTCCTAATTTTCTTTTTGTTTTATTTTATTTTATTTTTTCTGAAGAACAGTGGTCCATGGAAGTGAAAGACCGAAAGACCATTCATTATTCCTGCCTTCACCCCTTCGTGGAATCGTGGGACACAAGGCATTTCTCATTTCTATTTCGTTTTTTTTCCCTTACTATTATTACATAAACATTATTTTTCCTCTCTAATTTACTTTTCGTGTGTTTTTTTTAAAGGAAATCCATTAATAAAATCATATCAAGTCTCAAACTATAAAAAATAATAGGAAGTGGACATTGCCCGCAAATTATGTTGTGGAACTGTGCCCACCTTACACAGTTCCACAACGACGTCATTTTTGTTAAAAACGACAACGCCGTTCTAATTAAAAACAAAATTATTTTTCGCTTGCTGTTAATGGCGTTTTTCTCTTCACAATCGCACAGTTTATAAATTACGAATTTACTGTATTTAAATTATGAATTTACAATATAGAAATTATGAATCTACAGTATTATGTTTGTGAACATGTGATAGAGCTATATGTTCATAATTTTATAAATATATGTTCATAATTATAGAGCTATATGTTCATAATTTTCGATGTTCATATTCCCAATTGTTGAACTCTGTATTCACAAATCACAGAACTATATGTTCGTAATTTGATAACTATACAATTTAGAAATTATGAATCTACAGTACAGAAATTATGAATCTATAGTACAGAAATTATGAACCTACAGTACAAATATTATGAATCTGCAATATAGAAATTATGAATCTTCAATTTAGGAATTATGAATCTATTATAGATTTTATGAATCTACAGTATAGAAATTATGGAGGATAACAGTGCCACTATTAACGGCACCGTTACTCAACCACATGAAAACGACGTAGTTTGGAACCGGGTTCCACAAAATAACGATTACACATTGCTAGTTTTTAAAATATATAATTTTTATTTATATATTATTTTCTAATATAAAGAACAAAAATTCAAACAACTTTGTTTATTATAAATAAAATTCTAAGATAATGCAAATGTCCTTCTAGCATTGTTTGACGCAAATTCATCGATCAACTCTTCATAATCTACTTTATCCAAAAGATCATTTTCGATAGATATCAACGATGATCCATTAAGTCGTTATTGTGACATTTATAGAGCGTAAGTAGGACTTCAACAATTTTAACTTGGA